CTCCCTATCAATCTATCTCTCACCCAAACTTATATCTATCCTACCTAACAACAAACAAGGGAAAACAAAAAAACCTCCCCGCTATTGCACAGTCCTCCCGAATCCTAAAAAAAAAAAAAAAAAAAAAAATAATGAACAATGTGACCCTGAAACCCGGAGAAAGCAAAACCGCCGCAGTGACGGACGCGCTGCTTTCGTCTGGGTCTGAGGTCGCGCCTTCTGCCTCTCGGGGGACCGGACCGCCCTTCGCCGCGCCCCCTCCTTCCCGCGGCCCTTCGCTCCGTCTTCCGCGGGAGGGGAACGGAAAAGGGGCCGCGCGCAGTAGGAAGGGATACCCTCGCCCACACACGAACGCACGGCACAAAGACACGCATAATCACACACCAGAAATGCATCACTTGGATCTATATATCTTATATCTAATATTCTATATCTATATCCTATCTATCTATCTATCTATCTATCTACTATCTCTCTCTCTCTCTCTTCTCTCTCTCTCTCTCTCCTCTCTCTGCTCTCTCTCTCTCTCTCTCTCTCTCTTCTCTCTCTCTCTCTCTCTCTCTCTGACTGTCTCTCTGATGTCTCTCTACTCTCTCTCTGACTCTTCTCTGACTGTCTCTCTACTCGTCTCTCTGACTCTCTCTGACTCTCTCTTCCTTCCTTCCCCTATCAATCTATCTCTCACCCAAACTTTATCTATCCTACCTACAACAACAAGGAAAACAAAAAAACCTCCCCCGCTATGTAGTCCTCCCGAATCCTAAAAAAAGAAAAAAAAAACATAATGAAAGTGACCTGAAACCCCGAAAGCAAAACGCCGCAGACGGACCGCGCTGCCTTCGTCTGGGTCTGAGGTCGCGCCTTCTGCTCTCGGGACCGGACGCCCTTCGCCGCGCCCTCCTTCCCGCGGCCCTTCGCTCGGTCTCCGGCGAGGGGGGAAACGGAAGAGGGCGCGCGAGTAGGAAGGGATACGCGCTCGCAACACACACGAACGCACGACAAAGGACACGCATAATCACACACAGATCATACATTTGTATTCTATATCTATATCTATATCTATTATCTATCTATCTAATCTCTCTCTCTCTCTCTCTCTCTCTCTCTCTCTCTCTCTCTCTCTCTTCTCTCTCTCTCTCTCCTCTCTCTCTCTCTCTCTCTCTCTCTCTCTCTCTCTCTGCCCCAAGAGCCCCGCCCGCCCCGCCCCGAGGCCCAGGGCTACCCACCTTGGTCGCACAGGATCCCGCCCCAGTTGAGGTGGCAGACGCAGGTCCAGGGCGAGCCGTCGCAGTCGCCGTGCTTGCAGCCCGGGTACGGCGCGCACTCGTTGCACAGCTCGCCAGTCCAGCCCGGTCGGCATCTGGAGGAGGAGGAGGAGAGAAAACGTGTTTTTTAATTGATAATATCATTATTTGCATTCAGAATAGAATAGGAGAAAACATGTGTTCATTAAAGTATCTGATTATATTTGTGTCCCTATAATTTGATAGGGACGAAGCATCAGTTAGCTGATAATCTCGCTTTTTTATGTAGCTGCAACACGAGAGAAAACATGTGTTTAATAATAAGCAGATCTCATCTCTATATACATATAAAATAATGAGCTTCCCGCTTTGCTCTGTGTAAGGACGACGTGTCTTCTTAACCTTGTCTTTTTTCTTTTTTTTTTACGAAAAAAAACAAGAAAATAAAAATCCCAACCCTTTCCCGTTTCTTCCCTTTAAAAATAACTTAAGACGACTGCGATTTCTACGATTTAATAACTGGAGAGACTTAGGCGTTCCTGGGAGAAAGGAAGGAGTCTCTAAGATTCAATTTCCCAGGATTTGCAAGGCGGCGGGGGGGGAGGAAGGAAGAGGGGGAGGGGAGGGGGTAGTCCCGAGACGCTGGGATGTCGGATGGCGGTTTTTTTCCCCTCTCTCGAAGTGGATTTCTCTGACCTGTCCTTCGTGTTTCTTCTTCTTTCTCGAATCTATTTTAAGATCTTAAAAAAAAAAAAAACATTTATCTATTTTGTCATTTATTCTATTCGTTTCCATCTTTCTATCTGACTTTTGATCTGTATTTGTTACTCTCTCTCTCTCTCTCTCTCTCTCTCTTCTCTCTCTTCTCTCTCTCTCTCTCTCTCTCTCTCTCTCTCTCTCTCTCTCTCTCTCTCTCTCTCTATTCCTATACGTCCAAATATGCTCTTCTTATCCCCCACATCTCACACCCTCATTCAACTCTCCTCCATCTCTCCACCTCCCTCCTCACCACCCCCTATCCCCTCCTCATCCCATTCATCACCTTCAAGTCCCTGCCCCTCTTCACCCACCCCCTCCCTCCTCCTTCCTTCCCTTCCTCACTCTCTCCACTCCCTCTCCCTACTCCTTCCCTCCCTCTCCCTCCCTTCCTCCCGCTTCCCACTCTCCACTCCGTCTCCCCTCTGTCCTTCCCTCCCTTCCTCCTCCTTCCCCTCTCTCCATCCCCTCTTTCCTTCTCCACTCCTCTCCCATCCTCTCACCCCTCCCTCTCCCTCCACCTCCCCTCCTCCTTCCCTCCCTCTTCCCTCTCACCCCTCCACCCTCCTCTCCCTCCACTTCCTCTCCCACCCATCCACCCCTCCCCCTCCCCCCAAGAGCGTGAAAGATGGCCAAACCTCCGTCTTATGTTCCTCGACTCCTTCCCGACGTCACTTTAAGACGCCTATCAGCTGACTCCGGCTCGACCGCGACACGCTGGCCGGATCGGTGGGCTGATAGGGTGAAAAAGGGGGCGCAGGGAGGGAAGGCGTGAGGGAAATGGGTAGGCGACCTTCCTCTTCCCTTACCTTTCCTTCCTCTCTCCTCCCCCTTATTCCCCTTTACGCATTTTTTATCCCTTCCTCCTCTTCTTTTGATTTCTCTATATTTTTAACATTTTTTTCTTTTATTTATTTATTTTTTCTTTTATTTACTTTTTTTTCTTTCTCTTTTTAAACTTTCCTTATTTCTTCTCTCTTTTTCCCAGTCTTTCTCCTCTATCTATCCTTCGTCCCTATCCCTCTTTTTCTTTCTTTCTCCTATTCCTCACTCCCCCCCAAAAAAAAAACAACAAAAAAAAAAAAGAAATAGAAACAAAAACAAACTCAAAAGAACCGAAAAATAAAAAAAGTTCAAAACAAACACACACAACAAGTCTATATTAACATGAAATTAAATTGTTAAAAGTTGTCACGACAAAAGTTTTTCTTTTAAAGTTTTTAACACTTTTTTTTTTTTTTTTTTTTTTTTACACTTTCGATGAGGAGAAAGCGAAGGAAGGAGGAAGAGAAGGAGGAGGAGGAAGGAAAGGAGGAAGGAGAGGAAGGGGGAGGGAGAGGGGGGTCGGAAAACAAGGGAAGAAAAAGTGAAGAAAGGAAGGAGGGAAGTAGGGAGGGATGGTAAGGGAAGGAAGAAGGGTGAGGAAATAAATGTGGAAGGGGAAGAGAAATGGATAGAAGGAAGGAAGGAGGAGAAAGGAAGGAAAAAGGGAGGGAAGGAAGGGCAAGAGGGAGGGAGGGAAGAAGAGGACAGACAATTGGAATCAAGAGAGAGAGAGAGAGAGAGAGAGAGAGAGAGAGAGAGAGAGAGAGAGAGAGAGAGAGAGAGAGAGAGAGAGAGAGAGAGAGAGAGAGAAAGAGAAAGAGAAGAGACAGAGACAGAGACAGAGACAGAGACAGAGGACAAAGAGAAAGAGAAAGAGAAAGAGAAAGAGAAAAGAGAAAGAGAGACGGAGACCAGAAAAAAATAGAGTAGAGAGAGAGAAAAAGAAAAAGAGGGAAGGAATGGAGGGGAGACTGACGTGGGGGTGGGGGGGAAGGGGGAGGGGCTGCCACCACCCCAGCTGAATGCGAACGAGATGCAAATGGGCGCTCCAGCTGAGATTTATTTTAGGACTTTTTTAAAGCTGACAACGTAATGTTTAGGCCCAGATTATCCGCGTGATATTTGGACTTTTAAAATTTTGGCTTTTAAAGGGGAGCTCTTTTTTTTTTTTTTTTTTTTTTTTTAAAGGTCATTTCGAAGGCCTACAGGAGTCATTTGGCTCGGGGTGATGATTGACTGACTTTCTGTGTCTCTGTCTCGTCTCTTTCTCTCCTTTATCTCCTCCTGTTTTATCAGCTCTCTCTCCTCTCTCCAATCTCTCCTCTCTTCTCTCTCTCTCTCTTTCTCTCTCTCTCCCCACCCTCTATCTCTGCCTTTCTCCTCCCCTCTTCTTCCAGATCTCCCTCTCTCTCCTTCTCTCTCTCTTCTCTATTTATCTACCTATCCCCTTCTCTCCCCCTCTCCCTTCCCTCCCATCCCTCCCCTCCCCACCCCTCCTCCCTCCCTCTCTCCTCCCCCCCTCTTCTATTTATCTCTCTTCCCCTCTTCTCTTCCTCTCTCTCTCTCTCTCTCTCCTTACCCCTCTCCCGCTAATGACCTTCCTCCCCACCTTGCAATTTAGTGTTCATTTTGCGACGAAGAGTAGTAATATCCTTGTCATTCTCGCCGTGAATAATGGCAGGAGGCGGCCATTCATTCTGCACTGTGTCTCGGTTTCATCTGCAGTTAGGCTTCTGCAAACCTCCCCCCTCCCTTGCTTGCTTTCTTTCTCTTGTTTATTACGTTCTTCTTTTCTCTTTCTTTCTTTCTCTTGTTTATTACATTCTTTCTTTCTCCCTTTCTTTCTTTCTATTTTTTTTATTACATTCTTTTCTTTCTGCCTTTCATTCTTTCTATTTTTTAATGCCTTCTTTCTTTCTCTTTTGTAATACATTCTTTCTTTCTCCCTCTCTTTCTCATTTTCTGTCTTTCTCTCTCCATTTTAACATCTTTGCTTCATCATTTTTTTTTACTTGTTTTTTTTTTTTTACCTCTTTTTCATCTATCGTCTTCGCTTTCTCTCTTCTCTCTCTCTTTTTTATTTTTTTTTTTATACAACTTTCTCTCTCTCTCACCCTGCTTCCATCCTCTCCCTTCCTCTCTCTCTATCTTCTTCTTCCTCCTCCCCCCTCTCTTTCTCTCTCTCCATCCTTTCCCTTCCCTCCCCCCTCTCTTCTCTCTCTCCATCCTTTCCCCTTCCCTCCCCCCTCTCTTTCTCTCTCTCCATCCTTCCCTTCCCCTCCCCCTCTCTTCTCTCTCTCTCCATCCTTTCCTTCCCCTCCCTCTCTCCTCCCTCCTCCCTTCCTCCCCTCTCTTCTCTCTCCCTCTCTCTCTCTCTCTCCCTCTCTCTCTCTCTCTCTCTCCCTCTCTCTCCTCTCTCCCCCCTCCCTCCTCCTCCCTCTCCCTCCCCCCCTCCCCTCCCCCCTCCCCCCCCCCCCCTCCCCTCCCCCCTCTCTCCTCTCTCTCCCTCCCTCCTTCCCTCCCCCTCTCTCCCTCTCTCTCTTTCCCTCTCCCTCTCTCCCTCTCCCTTCCCAGCGCCAATCCCCCGGGGCTGACTCGTCATTAGGTAAACATTACATTTTCTGATTCATGATTCGTCGAGTCTTAAAGAGGCCGAGGAGCTACTAAGATTCTGGGCTCCCCCCTCACACCGCCCCCCCCCGCTTTCTAATCCTTCTCTCTCTCCTTCTTTCGGATTTTTTTTTCTCTTCTTGTTCTTTTTTTTTTTTTTTTTTTTTTTAGGTGTTTTTTATTTATCCTTCTTTCTTCATCGCCTTTTCTCTACCTCCTTCTTCATGCTCTCCTTCTCCTCCTCTTCTGCCAATTCTTCTTATCTCTTATTTCCTATCTTCTCTTTTACAGACACAAAAAAGAAAAATCCGAATCTCTTGAATAATAAAAAAGATCATAAAACAAAGAAAGAAAACAACGACAAAAAACAGAAGCAAAGAAACCAGAACAAAGAAAAAGAAAAAAAAACAATAAATAATAAAACAGTTTAAAGTGGGAACGTAATGGAAGGGTTTGCGCCCTTTGCCCGTGATGTGTGAGGAGGGGGGGGGAGAGGAGGAGGAAGGGTAGGGGGAGTGAGGGTGGGGGAAGGGTGTTGGAGGGAGGAGTGAGAGGGGGTAGGATGGGAGGGAGGGAGATGGGTGGGGGGGAAGGGAGTCAGAAGGTGGTAGGTGGTGGAGAGGAAGGAGGGAGGATAGGAGGGGGGAGGGAGAGAACGAGGTTGGGGGTGTTGGAGGGAGGAGGAGAGGGGGATGGGGAGGGAGGGAGATGGGGTGGGGGGTGGGAAGGGAGTCAGAAAGGGTAGGGGTGGTGGAGGAAGGAGGGGAGAAATGGGGGGGGGAGTGAGAAACGAGGTTGGGGTGTGGAGGGAGGATGAGAGGGTAGGATGGGGAGGGAGGAGATGGGGGTGGGGAAGGGAGTGAGAAGGAGGTAGAGGGTGGTGGAGGAAGGAGGGAGATAGGAGCGGGAGGGAGTGAGAACGAGG